AACAACATTATTTAGGTTTGTTACTTCATGGAGCAAAGCCATGCAATTCCTTACAGTTTCTTTATCTTATAAGGATAAGGAATATTCCAAAATATCAAACAGCCAGACTAGCTTGTCTTAATCCAACATTTTTGTTGTTGAAATCTTTCCTATTATGCGGCATCATAAAAGCATCCAAAATGAAACTATGCTGTTATTTTTTTCCACTGACCATGTTGCTTCTTGGTTTTCTACTCCAGGGTTGGGGGGTTGGGGAGGAGGGGGGAGATTATGAATCCACAGCTTTTTATTACATTAAATATGGCTTGTAATTATGCTATATACCTGCATAATTGCACCCCCTCATTTCCACTGCCTGATCCACGAAAGCCTTTTGGAAGGTGGCTGTGCAGTTTTCTTTGCCACCGCAGACCCTGGAACATAGAAAGAAGTTGGGGGACACCTCAGGCCAGTCAGGGGTTCCCTCCAGTTGACTGATAGCAAAATGCCAAGACAGCATTCAATCTGGTCGCAGAGGAACAAAAACCCCTCATCCATCCATTCCACATGGAGAGAAAACAAGATGTAAGATACCCCACCACCCTCATTTCCAGAACAGGGCTGTGTGCATCTGTCTGGCCATTTGTAAAAGAAAAATCTAAGCTGTTGCTCTTAAGGAGACAGCTAGGAAGCCACCAAGCCACCGTTTTTCTGTTGCACTGAAAAGCTTATTGGTAGCTGAGAGGACAGCAACTGTGCAGTGAGATGTTTTCCACTGCTAGTGCAGCGGCTGGATTAGCAATGGGTGCCAGGAAGAGAGGACCCTGGAAGTTGTTTTGGGGGACGCGGGAGAGATGACTGGAGAAACAAAAGTCCCTTCACCCCTTGTTCCTTCGCCCCACGCAAAAGGAAAAGAATTTGCCAGTGTGGCTTGTGCCCTACACAAGGGAAGGGAAACACAGACATCACGCTTAGCATTTCACACCAGCATCCTTGCATGACCTGTTGTGTGCACATGAACCATTGCAATGATCTGCCAAAAGAGAGAGAGAGAGGAAAAACAGACCAGATTAATCCTGGCTGTATTTTAAATGGAAGTCGCAGATTAATAGCTCTTTGGTCAAACGCCAAAAAGAAAAGAAAAAAAAAGGTCTGGAAGGTGGTTGTGACGGGGTGCATCCTTTAAGCCCCTGCGAGCAGAACGATTTGCCAGCTAAAGCCAGTGAAGCAAGGGAGACAGACATGCCCCCCCCCCCGGTTATTTGCTTGCTTGTTTGTTTATTCATAAGACTCATATATCACTTCAATATTGACAGCTTTAAGCAGTGATGACCACAGCAACAACAACAATTCACCAATGTAAATATTAATGAAAAAGTATCTAACATATACATAACAGATGGACGCCAAATTCTGCAAAACTGCATTACTGTGGATGGAAAGTTTTTGTTTCGTTCTGCTTGTGTGTACGTTTATTTTTTTTTTTATGATTTTGGATGCACTGCAACTGAGCTAGCAATTAAGAGGCTCGTCTGTGAAACGCAGAGGACAGCATAAGAAGAGATGTGGAACGGTTCAAAGGCTCTGGCGGGGAGCACCTGACAGCTTCAGCATCTTCTGCCACCCATTCTGACTTTTGTCAGAAAATAAGGCCCAGAGGGATGCCTGATTCAAACCAACCAGAGAAACAACCAGTGAAAGCTAGCAGGATTCAGTCAATATTTCCTTAACCTCTTTCCCCAAAGTGCATGCAGTACATTTGGAAGATAGTTAAGGTGTGATTTTTATTAACTTCCACAAGGAAATTCCATTGTGCTGCTGAGAATAGTCAAAATGAGGACTTGGCCAAACCAGCTGGAACACTCTTACAGTGCTTCTGCAAAGAAGAAGAAATAAGGAATGACAAGTGTTTTTGCATAATGAGATTGGACACTGCTGGCAAAATTAAATATTATTTGCTTCAAGTCCTAGAAACCAGTGATGGTACACAAATTATTGCTCAGTTTCTCAGACTGTATCTTACAGAGCTATGCAAATCCTTCAGCAAAGGTGTCTGGGAAAATGCAGAAGTACTTACAAAGTGCCTCTTTCTGAATAGTTAAAACAGCCACATCCTTTTCTCAGGTTCATGCTCTGATGTTGCCCCCAGCTTTAGAAGGATTTGTGGTTCCCTAATATCCACTTAAGAAGAGTTCTAATTATCTTTCAGTAATATTTTAGAAACGGATGGTATGGCTGAAGTTGAGGAGGAATTGCTGTACTGCCTGTTTATTTTCTAACTGCAAAATAAAGAGACCTGATAGTTAATTCAAATTCTGAATAGGGCAGTTTTTTCATTCATCCAACAGAAGACTTCATCCAATGGGCAGAACTACCAAGCATTCTTAGGGATCTCTCTATTGCATATAATAGAGGGATATCAAAGGATAAGCAAGCAAAATCCTTGCTTATTACTACATGTATTTAATTAGTTGATTTATGTTATTAGTGGCCCCTCAAAAGTACGTGGTTTTTCTTGGGCAAATCAAAACACTAATATTTCATTGCCCCTTTCGCCCACACTGATTAACGGCACCATCGATACAATTTAGAATTAACATATTTTTGGGATTGTTTTTATTGAACTGAATTATTTTTTCTTTGGTTGTTTCCTGCCCAATTCCTAAACAACTCTGGGCAGGTTACAATTAAACGCCAACATATTAAAAGAAATAACCACCAACCAGAAGAGCAAAATACCAAAACAAATCAAATCAAATCAAATCAAATCAAATGAAATCAAATGAAAATAAAATAAAATAAAATAAAATAAAATAAAATAAAATAAAATAAAATAAAATAAAATAAAATAAAATAAAGCAAAGCGAAACAAGAAGGGGCTCCACAATTACCCTGTCCCCAAGACCTGGAAAAACAATAATGTCTTTAACAATTTCCTGAAGAACATAACAGTGGGAGACACGTGAATCTCTGTTGGAGGGGACCATTCCAGAGGGCAGACTCCACACTCTCTTCTCCTCACCATGATGTTGTTAAAGAAATGAATTCAATTAGTCTTGAACAACAGCAGCAGCAGCAACAAAACTTCTGCCATATTTATTGAAACAGCATACTTAAGATTAGTATTAACAAGGGCCAGTATCCCTGTTCACTTTTGGTTCCAAGTCACCAAGATTGGTAGATCAACTATAAGACAAACTCATATTCTGTCTTCCCAATAAGAAAAATCATTTTTATCAGATGTGAGATCTAACTTTAATATAAAATAGATGTATTCATTTGTATATGAAAAATTAAGATGTTCCAGAATTAGGGTCTGAAAATAAAATATATTTATTAGTTTTGGGTATCTCAAACAACTTCACATAAAAACATAAACTAAAAGGGGGGGGGCAACAGATGGACCTTACCAACTTTCTACTGAAAATCCATTTTAGAGCTCACAATAATTCTAGAAGACAAAACTATAGAAAGAGCCAGTTCAATTCACTGTTTTACAACTTTCACCTTAAAACCAACCCGCATCCACCTTTTCTTGACATTTGCATTCAGACAACTTGACCATCATCTGAGAAAACATTGCAAGCCATTTCAGACCCTTTAATTTTCCACTTGAGAAAGAAAGAGGCCTTGAAGTCAGCTCCATTTGATTCAATAATAAAAGCTATTCAGTGCATTGAAAGTTGTCTTCAAAGATAAAATAAAGCAATGGGAAGTCTCAAGCATCTCCAGTTCTTGTTTTATGTAGCACATTATTGATTTTCACAGAAAAGATCAGCTATATCACATCTTTTTTATAAAACTTTAAATCATATTTAGGATGTTGGAATCTTGAGAAGAATCAGTTTGTGATTCACCAGCATTTACTAGACTTGAAAAATCTTTTCCATATCTAAGAAGTATACCTTTCTCTCCCCCTCCCTCCCCACTCTTCAACAAAATAGTTAAGGTCTATATCAAAAGTTCCCTACAACACACGTCTGAAATATCCAAAAAGATTAATGTTCCCCTTTAAAATGAAAATATATTTATAAAATTAGCTGTCATTAATTTAAAATATTTCATTTCAATATTATTCAAATTCAGTTCTTGACAACAAGATAGGAAGTTATACAAAGTGTTCTATGACTTGTGGAGGCCTTTGTGTTATGCACTTCAGGACAGTAAATACCACTGCAAAACAATCAATTGTGTTTTGCTAAGCAATGTTTTGTGGTTCAGATTTAGAGGTATCTTCAACACCCTAACAGAAGCTCTTTAAACAGCATTGTATATTATGCCACCAAAGACTGTGTTTTCTGTGCCTGGAAATTTTAACGGTGGTAATATATTTCAAAGACTTCATTGTAACCACGGCCATAAAGATAGCAATTCAACAGCTCTAGGGAGCCCACGCAAGACGCACTTTCTTAATAACTCCCATTAGACTGTTAACAAGCATCTATCTTTCCTTGATGGATTTCACTTCTTTTTCCCACACACCAACCAAGAGGTTCTATATTTGTTCCAGCGGTTAAAAAAGGAAGTAAATCATGTCTCAAACTATGGGAAAACAAACGACAATAACACTTTACCTAAGTTTTACACCTTCCAAATCTGTAACTTTGTTTGAATGTTATCCTAGTATTATGATATATTTTATACAAAATGGTGTTGGGGGAGAAAATAAGTTATTGATCTTCTCAAGGGATAATTTAAAAAATGGTGAAAGCAATGTGCCACTACCGAAGACGTATGTATTAAACATGTACCCCATTCTAACCAAGGAGCTCAGAGGTTCGCTTTGGTTCGCATTCCAAAACCCAGACTTCACTGAGAACCAAACTCTAAAACTAATCTTCCATGCTTTTACACCATGTCACTTCAAAGGATTCAGAATGATGAATTCTCTACATTATTAAAACAGACCATCTTTCGGGACCGCCAAGGTCTCACCTAGGATAGATGCGGTCAACCGAGCATGCAAGATAATTTCACAATCCACAGAGGGAGAAGAAAGGAAAGGAGGGGGAATCACTTACATTATTCATGTATTCGGTCAGCAAATCCTGCAGGGCCTGTCTCACCGCGTTGCATTCCGCAACAATTCTCTCCCGCCGGTCATCACGGGTACAAGATGAATCGGCCATGAGCGCAGCCCCGCTGATAATGCTCTCCAATCTCTCTTCAAGGGAGGGTCGAAACCGGGCTTCGCTGAACGTCATGGGATCTAAAATGATCTTGTTCTGCAAAACCAAAGCAAGCATGACAGTAGTTTTTAAGAGCTACAATTTCATAGCACAATAGGTTTGAAGGAGGAGAAATGTAAAGATAGCAATAAACCTTTTTTAAAAAAAAAAGATTATTTATTTCTTTAAGCCAAGTAATTGGTTTCAAAGGAATATTTAGGAAATTATGGTGTTCCAGTCATATTCTGAAGTAACAACCCAGTTTGAAAGCAATTGCCTTTGGATACAAAATACTGCAACGGGTGTCAAAAGAAGGCAATTGTGAAAAATATTATCTATTTTTTATTTGATTTGATTAAATTTTGAGGCCACTCAACTCCAAAAAGTCTCTGGGCAGCTTACAACCATAAAACAATACGTAAGATAAAAAGGGAAACATAGAATAGAATTAGAAATACAACTTTCTAAAAACAATAATAAACAGTAGGAAGCAAATGACAAAAATGAAATCAAATGAAATTACACTCACAATATCATCCATCTCACTGAACACCTATTTTTAAAGTCCGCTTCTTTCATTGTTTCTTGCATTCATTTTATTACCAATCATATTCTATTTCTCCATAGACACAAGGAGACACTCCTTAGTTCTTCCTTTATTCTCAAAATAACCTTGTCATGTCTTGAGCAAAATGGAAGTGAGCATCAGAGAGTAGTAGTTTGAAGGTCACTGTGTGAATTTTAGCCCAAGTTGATTCTCAAACTAGGTGTTATCAGGGGAGTATAAAGTATTTTTGGTTGGCCCTTATTGTATGTATGTATGTATTTATTTATTTATTTATTGCATTTCTAAGCCATTCACTACCGCAGCCCCTTCCTACTCAATACCTTATACCATATTCCTATAACTGAGTTTTGTTCCTCCAGTTTAGAACTACAAAGACAAGGAGATTGTAGGAAGCACTAATCCCTGATTTCTTGTTTTGGGGATAAGAATCTAAGCGCTTCCCACAAAACAATTCTACAGCAAAGTTAAAAAACAAAAAGGTCAGTTACCCGGGAACCAAGCCAATGTTTAGAAAGGATTAGATATTTTGAGCAGCAAAGGAACATTCTCAAAACCAAATTACCAGAATTGAACACCACTTAAAAATAGATTAGGCCTTATGTTGCTGCCCCTTAATCACATTCTTCTTTAGCTTCCATTGTATAAAGCAACAGAGCTATCCATCCACCAGGTGAAGCAGCGGTGGGAAATATGACATTATATAGCAATCTAAACCAATATTTGTTTTGGTGGGAAGGGAACCATTTCCTTGTTTTGAGCACTTTACTACTCTGAGAACATTTTATCATTGCATTAACACATTCTGCAGCCACCTGCAATTTGATTTGAAGTGCAAGCAAGCAATGTAGAATCCCAAATGACACATATGCTCCTTTGAAGCATCATTTACTTCAAGACTGGGTTACAAGTCAATCCTAGCTTCTATTTATCTCACAGTAGATGTCAGAAAAGCTAAAACCCAGAATGGCACAAGGACTCTAAGAAGAACAAATTTCTTCAGATGTGTTTAAAATTATGTAGATACACACACACACACACACACACACACACACACACATATACATGTCTGTGCACATGTTGCTCAATAAAGGTATTTATTGGCAACATGTTTATTTACTGGCAACATTTAAAGGCGAAGGTATAACAGATATAGAGAAAACACAGAAGGAATCAGTTCCTATTTGGCTCAGTCTCCTCTGAGAGGAAAGTATGAAATCCACTGGGCAATTGCAAAGGCTGGTTGAAGGGACAGGACTCCAGTATGAGTTGGCAGAAGCACTGTCACTTAGCCATGTGGTTGGGCCTGCAGAACCAAAGGGTAGAGCTTTGAAACCTCTTCGGTGAGAGGTCTGCTGAATCTGGCCCTGCCTTCTGCCTAGTGCAGCTACTTCTTCATGGTTACTGCTGCCATCACTGACTCTTCCAGAGTTCATCATTTGGCATCTTCTCCCTAATTCTCCAGTCAGTGAGATATGAAGGTCCTACAACCTGTGGGGTTCTTCTGACAAATAGAAGGTAAAAATGGGGAGTATCGAATAATTTCTATTATACAGCCTCTATAGTGTACAGACATATGTGTATAGAGGTTTCAGCCTCCACACCTCCTTTTTGGGAGATAAATCAATCTCACAAGAGATAAACGAAATCAAAATTTTACTTTTAAAAGGCATCACAAACTATTTTATTTATTTATTTATTCCTACTTGCATGTCACTGAATGAGTAGACTCACATCTGGTTACAGAACAATCAACAAAAGCATCCATCAACAAAAACATTACAAATTTCCATGGAAGATATAAACAAATTAAAACAACCAAGAACTAATCAAAGTTACAACAAAACAAAGATAAAAATATAAAATAGTTATCATTAAAAATAAAACCAATCATAACAAATCAAATAGAACAATATCAAAAAAATAAATCAATATAAGAAATTCAAAGTAAATACATTAAGATGGTGAGAATAAACTATTCAACCAAGTGATTTCAGAAAAATTCCAATTTCAGTAGGTTCTGGAATACTAGAAGGGATAGAACCTCCCTTAATTCTAAAGGCTAGACAGCCACTGAGAAACAGAAAAATGATAGATGAAGCACAGTTTACAAAAATTCATGCGATGATTTGAGCAGATTGAAAGATGGTCTTTGTCTGCTATAATCAGTGATCTCATAAGAGAGATGGCTTTCAAGTTATACATCGGCTCCCAAGAAATTAATAAAGAGGAAAGTAAATCTTACAGTTTCCTTTCTTGGGCAAGGAAATAGGACTCAGAGAGTTAAGCTACACAAAGACAAAAGTAATTAAAACTAAGCATAACATCCAAACCTTGAGATACCTTTGAGATACCCTAAATCCTGAAACAGTCATCTGGTACTTTCTCCCTGGTTTCTTGGTATAATTTTAGCCATTTATCAGAGGGGGATGGTATGCTTCACTTTTTTTTTTTTTTCTTTGGCCAGCTCAGGCACAGAAACCTCTTCTGATCTGTCTGGGAGTTCAACCTTCATCTAAAAAAAAAAAAAGATTCTTTCTAGGAGGGGAGTTGAAGGAATCTCCCAAGTATGCATGTTAAACACTGTGTTTAAGAGAAGATGTATATTCCAATACAGATGCTGTCTGCCATTTAGACTGGCAGGGAGGCTTCCATATTTTGAATGCTGGTTGCCTATTCGCCACAGTCCGAGAACACATACTATACTGTTCTTGAATTAAAATCTATCTGATAGTCTATCTGGATCTCTATTTATTATTTTTGGTAAGTTCTGGGGAACACAATGAAATGAAAATCAGAAGACAACAAATTATAGATTGACATCAATTCTTTGGAAGTTTCTGCACCAGATTATTTAGTTCTTTTATTTAGATTTTTTTTATCCTGCCTTTATTATTTTTATAAATAACTCAAGGTGGCAAATATAGCTAGTACTCTTTCCTCCTTCTATTTTCCCCCAACAACAACCCTGTGAGGTGAGTTGGGCTGAGAGAGAGGGACTGGCCCAAAGTCACCCAGCTGGCTTTCATGTCTAAGGTGGGACTAGAACTCACCATCTCCTGCTTTCTAACCTGGTGTCTTCACCACTAGGCCAAACTGGCTCTTATAAAGCAATTAATGTACTGCTTGAAAATAATGCATGTTGCATTATGTACATAACAAGTCATCTCTGGCTCCTGTGAGGTGGGTTGGGCTGAGAGAGAGGGACTGGCCCAAAGTCACCCAGCTGGCTTTCATGTCTAAGGTGGGACTAGAACTCACCATCTCCTGCTTTCTAACCTGGTGTCTTCACCACTAGGCCAAACTGGCTCTTATAAAGCAATTAATGTACTGCTTGAAAATAATGCATGTTGCATTATGTACATAACAAGTCATCTCTGGCTACTTTAAAAAATGAAATAAAAAGGAAACTCACAGGGATAATTTGCATTCTCCTAGGATATTCTGGGACATTAACAGAAAATCACTGTGAGCACTTGGACTTTGTCTTATCTGCTTAATCTAGAGCCTACTTCTTTATGGCATGTGAAATTTAACACATCAATTTGCTTTCTCCCTTCCCCCCACCTTTTTTCCCCCCCAGAAGGGTATAGACAAGAGAGTGTATAAAAAGAGGAGCTATTTGGAGTTGCAAAATCTTCGAGACGTGTAGGAGACATGTAGACGTGGGCAAAGAGGCAAATGCTGCAGTGACCTGCAAGGTGTGTGCCATGCTTGTATTCCTACCTAAGGAGGATTCCAATTATATTGCACTAAGTGAACACTCACTGCATTGCTGGGGGACAAAGTGGAAAGTCTGGTGGCACATCTGACAACACTGAGACTTGTCAGGGAAGATAAGGAGTTTCTGGACCATGCAGAAGAATTGTCTGCAAAACAATTACAGGAAGGAATAGACTACTACTAAGAAAACAGGATCCCTGGAGGAGGAGAGCTGGCAACATGTAACTCAGAGAACCAACAGAACCAAGAGACAGTCCCTGTCACTGCAACTACACAGTCATTTTCAGGTCCTCCCCGTGGAGGGTGACTCAGACTTCTGGAGAAGCGTTTTCACCCAGCATTCCAGAGAGAGGAAGGAAAGATGTTCAGGTTTATTTGGAGGTGAGGAACCCAACGCTTGTCCCAAAAAGGAAAAAGCACAGGGTGGTGATCAGTGATTTGCTACCGAGAGCAATCTACAAACCAGACAAGATATCAAGGAAAGTATGATATCTCCCAGGTGTGAACATCCATGATATGACAGAGAGGCTGACTCAACTAATCAAATATACTGACCACTATCCCTCTGTTTATCTTGTTTCATGTTGAACAAATGACATGCTAGAAAGAGCCTAGAAAGAATATTGAAGGACTACAAGGAGTTAGGCAGGAAGGCTTCTGCTAACTAACTTCCACTCTCATTAACTGTATAACAAGTTTCACATGCTCTGTTTGAGAGACAGGAATCACCCCTTTACCCTCACCTTCCCCTACCTGTTTCTTACTGACA